CACCAGATAATCTGGTCAGATCCAGCCCTATGCTGTGGTGGATTCAGCCAGCTTTTTTACTCAACCTTGCCCAGTTCCCTTCCTTCCCATAGCCCCCACTGCACATGGCTTTTGTACATGATCCCCCACGTAACCTTATTTGGTGGTCCAAGGGGGGACCCTTCCTTCCTTTTTCACCACCAGAAAAGCTGGTCAGATCCAGCCCTATGTTTTGTATGCAAGGAAGTCTCAGGTTCAATCTCAGGTGAGTCAAGAAACTCAGGCAGCAGGTTGGCAGAAGGCCTTGGAGGGTCTCTGGCAGCCAGAATAGACAGTACTGGGCAAAATAGATGGATGGTGTGGATTACTCTAAGGCAGTTTGATATACTTGTTTGTGATGCCTGACACCGAGTATGACAAGTGGATAGATTGAAAAAGATGAGCCTCTCAAAGAAATTCTCTCATGCACGAGACCTGAAACTATTGCCCTGGTGTGGTATTTTATTGTTGGAAACATGTTAAACCCAACTTACACTTAAGGGTACTTCTGACAGAACAGGTTCTATTGAAACTTCTGAAGTTTGGGCCTCTTTTTTACTAAATTTTTCCATCTCTTCAGAGGCTGGTAGAATCCCAGCAAGACTGTGTCCAGTGGTAGGTGTTTCAATGCCTTAGAGCAGCTAATTATTCAAAAGCATGAGTCATACCCTCGAAAGCATTAATTTGATTTTGAAGTCATGACATCTGACGGCAAAAAAACAGCAGGAATTTTATGTTCCTTTTTAATTACTTTCTGGTTTTAGTGACCTTAAAATAAAGCCCTCCCTTTCAAATGTATCTCCACAGGAATAAGGATTATGAGGTCCTACCAGACCAATGCATATGTGCTTAAGATGCAATGTTTGCAGTGATATGCCACTGAGACATCACAAAATAGGATGTTACACCAGTGTGGAAGCCAGTTTGGCATTGAGTGTTAGAATGCAGGGTTGCAAGTGTAGCTATGCTGAAAATGTAACCTGCTTAGCCGTCATTGTTTCCCACACAGAACTCTGGGAGTCGTAGTTCCATGGCCGCCTAGGATTGTCCGATAGAGAAATCTCTGCATCCTCATAAAAGGATGCATCCCAGCTTTCCTTGGAGGAATACCACAGCTAGGCTGCATCCACAGGTGACTGGATATTGCGTTATACTGGTGTTATAATGAGAACTTAGGAAGATACTCCACATTCCCCAAAGAACTGAAATCAACTACTTGTGAAGGAACTCAACAGGTTTATTTAGATACAATACAACTTGGGCTTAGAGACCCTAATTGCAACAATGGCAACAGACATCTTAATACCACCACCACAGCTTCTTCTTCCCAGACATGACCAGGAGGCAGATGGCCTCTCCTGCAAACTCTTTCTTAACTCTATCATCCTTTGTAACTCTTTAGCACGCAGGTCCCCAACAGGGTGCCTGTGTGCACCCTGGCACCCGCGGACACCTTTCCCGGTGCCTGCCCAAGTGCCTTTATAAAGTGGTTGGGGCTAAGTGGGCCTTTTCCCCAGCAGGGCTTCTGATTCGCTGTGCAGATTAAATGGTATCCTGTTAAACAGAGCTTCTGCCTGAAATGCTGAAGAGTTACTATTAAGAGTTAAATATAACCTCAACCCCCCCCCCCAACATTTTGTGATTGGCTTCTCCTCCTGTGGCAGCCATTTTGTGGTGGTGCCCAGCACTCTGTGTCAGAATTCCAAAGGTGCCTGCAGGCTCAAAAAGGTTGGGTACCCCTGCTTTGGCATACTTGGCACTATTGCAGTCATTCACCTCATGAATTGTCTTGTTCACACGGGACGCTCCAGCTGCAACGATTGCTATGACATAACGATAGCGCAATATCCGACAATGTGTGGATGCAGACCTTACCTATAATTTAAAAAATTTCCTTTTTAAAATGTACTCCATGTTTGTCTCTACATAAAGACTATGCTTTCATTACTGGACACTAGACCTTGGGAAAGGAGGCATTTCAGCAAATTCCAGTTCCGTGGCCAGCTTGTACTACTGTTACCAATGTTCCCTCTAAGCTGTGTAGTCTTGTGAGCAAAAATTCTGCTTTGTGAGCTACTGGCATGAAAGTTGTGAGCAGGTGATTTGGCTACTGCATAAATTGGTTTGCTCTGGAGCCATCCTTCCTGAGCGAAGACGAAAATGTGTGAGCCAGAGGCTCAAAAACAGTGAGCTAGCTCACACTAACTCAGCTTAGAGGGAACATTGACTGTTACCCTCAGTTCTGTGGATTGTTAAGAACACGGGAAACAAAAGAGTTAAGATGTCATTTTATAGGACCTAATTCTTTTGGTTTAATACTGTTGCTTTGATCTCCAGACTTCAGGGAAAGGCTGTGGCTTTGCCTGAGGAAGGTCCCGGGTTCAATCCCTGGCATCCCCAGGTAAAAGGCGGCAGCTGCTGAGAAAGATGCTCTGCTTAAGACCGTGGAGAGCTGCTGTCAGCCTGAGTAGAGGATCTTGAACCAAATAGGCCAGTGGGCTGAATCTGTATAAGGCAGCTGCATACATTCATTTGTATAGAAGAGGGACCAAGAGCTTCCTCTTGTTACACAGGGAAAGAAAAGTGCAAGAGTCCAGTAGCCCTTTTAAAGACTAGCAAAATTTGTGGCAGGGTATGAGCTGAAGAAGGGACTCCCAAAGTGAGCAGTGACTCATACCCTGCCACAAATGTTGTTAGTCTTTAAGGTGCTACTGGACTCTTGCTCTTTTCTACTGCTACAGACAGACCAACACAACTACCCATCTTGATCTATCTGCAGGGAAAGAAAAGTTATGCCTATCAAAAATTCTCTCTTCTATGGAAACATCAGAGGCAGGAATCTATGTGCATGCAACAAAATTAGAGGAAGGCTGATGGGTAGAAGGGCTATTAAAAATGGGGTGTTGTGGGGATTAAGACTTATTGCTAATGGGTTTGTTTAAACTAAGGTTGGAAGCAGTAGCATGACTCTCGTTAGAACTGACCAAAACATTTCAGAATAGTGAACAAACTTTTCACTTGGAACGGGAACTCATCTTCATGCTTGGCACTGCAGTGTTTTTTAAAAGGTGAGGGGTAAGGATGCCAACCTTCAAGTGGGTTCTGGAGTTCTCCTGGAATTGCAGTGGATCTCCAGAGATCAGTTCCCCTGGAGAAAACAGCTGCTTTGTAGGGTGGACTTTATGGCATCATATCCCTGCAGAGCTTCCTCACATCACTGAACCCTGACCTCCCCAGGCGGCACTCTCAAGTCTCCATGAATTTCCCAGATGGGAACTGGAAACCCTCAGGGCATGATGGGAAATCACTAATCTAATTACTTAGTGATGTTTTGGTTGGCCCTAATAAGCGATTTTGCACTACTGAGGGTCAATCCAATTGAACGTGTTGAGGAGACATGCCTAAGATCAGGCTGCAAGCACAATTTAAAAAAATCTTTTAATAAAATTATGGGAGAGAAGAAGATGCAGGAGTTTTGTCCTTCTGAGTCTCTGCTCACCTAACATAGATTGAAAACCCCAGAAGAAGTTAGCCAGGTAAGTGGTACCACCTTACTAGGCACTTCTCCTTTATTCTCTGGGGGCCAAACTAGAAGATACGTTTTGCCAAAAGTTTGGGGTGCACCTTTTGGAGGCACTGGCACGTGTGTTGACTGGACATGCAGCCGCACAATGGGGCAAAAAACAACCCTCTGGGCCATTTTGGATAGATAGAATGGCATGGAGGGGAGCCTGAAGGCCCTTCTGCCCTGTGCTGTGGGACTGATCAAATCTGAGCTCAGGAACAGTGCTCCACAGCTGCCATCTGGCTATGATAGGATCACAGTCGGGTCGCGGGAGTCCCATCTTGACTCATGGCAAAGTTAATTGTCTGTTTTGGCCCTGAGACCAGCCGCAGTTACAGCTGTCTCAACCTACTTAAAAGGGCACTGTCAGGTTCTGCTTGAGGAGAAAGACTGTGCCGCCCTCTTGGTCTTATATGAAAAATTGGCCTTCCTCAACCTCTGATCAATGTAAGTGGAAATTTAAAATGTAATTTTAAATCATGTACTTTTAGAACACCTTTAAAATTGAGCAGTACACAATCTTGGGATGAAAGGATGAAGCCATTTTTCAATCCACTTTGCTTCCTGTTGTTGGGCCTGTATCTTTCTTACCCACCTGGACAACCCCAGGAAGAAACTTCGTCTTGATCACTGGAAATGCTGGCAAAGCAGCTGCACACACAGACACTGGGAAACCTCAAGGCTTGGCCTTCATTTTATTGGAAAGAGAAACATCTCAATTTTAAAAAGGGGGGGATCATGACCCAGCATGTTTCCATGAGGGGGCCAAGGTGGCTCTGAGGCCGCTGATGGAAACCCTAGAGCCTCACCCAAAGCGTCCCTCTGCACTCCTGAGGAACTTAAGGGCGGGGGCAGGCAGCAAGGGCAGTGTTTTTTTTTTAACCATCCCATAAAGGAAGGCTACCCCCACAGACTAGAAAATTATAGAATAGTTGCCAAATAGGTGTTTCCCCTACCTAAATCAGGGAGGGAAAAGTCTCCTGAGACATTTGGAAGTCCCAGGAGCAAATATACCCCAGGCAACAGAACATGTTCCAGAACACTTCCATTATAGAAATAAGTACACAAGAGTCAAAGGAAGGAGCTCATCTGCTGTTGCCTGCTGTTAATTGAGTAGATAACCAATCCTGTGGCTGCTACTATCCAGGGACCTGCCCACAAGTCTCTATAGCCTGCGAGCTTGCTCACTAGGGCCAAGGTTGCATTTGGTTCTGTGCCACTACGGAGGGGTTCTTTTCCAGCCCAGGACGACTCCAGGACACAGCTAGTGGCACATCTCTGCAAGGGGGAAAGGAGGGTCACTTGCACACTTTCTGAAGGGGCCAGCACTGGCTATGTGGGGCTCCGCAGACTCTGTTCTTCTTTGCGTTTGATCCCGAATGATCACAGGCTATAGTGTCACTCATCACTTGGCAGGCACACACAAAGAACACAGCATGTCATGTGTTCTCTTGGGCTAGCCCCTCAGGGCAGGGAGTTTGGTTCTGGGGTTTCAGTAGATGCATGACAGGCTGTGGCTGGGAAGAAGTGAAGTTGTGCTGAGGCTCTGCTGTGCCGGATCCTGCTGGCACATAGTGCAGATGCTTCCTGTACTGCACAAACATGCACACCTTGAGTACGATGGCCAGGACGTTCTTTCCCATGAAGATACCAGAGACCCGGATGTCCCTGAAGAAGACCATGTTGCTTCCCCTAATGAAGATGGTGGTGATGTTGATGGTGAGCATACTCAGCATTGGGTAGAGCATCATGCGGTGTGGCACGATGCTGATCCCTTGCATGCTAATCTCACACAGTGAGACGCAAGGGAGGACCAAGAGCAAGATGTAGCAGTAGAAGAACATCAGACCTTCGGCCCAGATGGGCAGCCCTTTCTTCTGGGGCTCCCAGAGATTGGCCTGGATGTCCAGCACATCCAGCATGTCAACAATGACCCAGAACAGACGGTTGCGCAAGTCCTCCTTCTTCTTAAACGTCCTGACATACTCCATGTGCTCGGTGGCCACTAGCAGTACATAGAGGGCTGGGATGCAGATGGACAGCAAGAGTGTCAAGGCCTTGCGGGCAATGAGGTCCAAGCTTTTACGGTCTGCTTTGTAGTTCTGGTAGATGAAGTAGACTTTGATCTCCAGCACAAAGACGTACAGGAACCAAAGGATCATGGCATAGCCTCGCTTGGCGGTCCTCACCTCAGCCCCAACCCATACTGCCACATACCTGAGCACGACCAGGAAGCAGATGTCCCCCACTGATACCATGATGCAGATTCCCAGCTTCCTGGAGCCCTGGTTCTGTTCTACCAGATAGGCATCCATCAGCACCATGCTGCTCATGATGAGTGTAGTGGAGAGGCAGACATGGGGCTTGTTAATAGGTGGGGGAGGAACCATCCTGAAACAAGGAGCACACAAACATATTAGTCCAGGAGTCAGGAGTCTCATGCAACCACCATCCTACATTCTACAGCGTTTTGATACTCACTTTGTGTTCTATAGCTTTTAAGTGGGATATTAATGTGTCTGCGTTCCTCAGTGACACAATGCAAATTCATCTGTCCTTGGTTCCCAGTAACCTCATAGATGTAGCACTCTGGCAAAAGAAGAAGAAGAAGAAGAAGAAGAAGAAGTGTATTTTCAGTTCATGCTGATCTGAATGGACTAAATCAGCAGGGAGTACGTCCTCAATATTCCATTTAAAAGACCAGTAAAATGGCGATAATAACACAGCCTTAGCTCACATGATTTTTCTCCTAGTGTGATAAAATATAATCAAAGCTTTGAGCACTTAGGGGAAAGAGTGATATAAATACTGCTGTTGTCTTGTTAAAGAGGAAACTATCCCACCCCTACTGAAAAAAGACTGAAATGACTAGAAATTACACAATTTAGGAAATGGTTTTGCTTAGGGCTGAGAAAATATTTTAGATTATTAGGTGACAGTAGCAGGTTTTCTAAATTCTCATGTGACCAAGCAAACCCCAAACTCTCTGGCTTAAAGGGGAAATGGCAGGGTGGCTGCAGGTGCCATACACCTGTGGAAGATCTGCTCACAGCCAATCCAGGGAGGAGTTAAGCTCCGCCTTCAAAATTCTGGCGCTAAACTCCATATTTCTCCCTCCCCTTTCAGCCCTTTATGGCATCTCTTTAGTTCACAGCTACAGTTTAGCTGTATGTGTGTGGGAGGGGGGGGAACCATGGGGGGGCCCCGGCAAGACTGTTGTATTATCATCACTTCTGCCCCAGCGTGATGGGGGAATGGGCATAGCAGCCAGCATTACAGGGACACTGTGGAAGGACACTGACCCTGCCTGCCTCCACTCTGCCCATTGCTGCTTCCACAGCGGGGGGTGGCTTTTCCTGTCCCCTGTGTTGAAACAGCCTAAGGCAGCCTAGCTTTAAAATTCTGGAGGAAAGAAAACATTGTGACTTGCTTTGCATTCTAAATCATTACACTCATTCGCCACTGAGCTGACATAAATGTGGGGCAGCATCATGCATTTGAATTATAGATACTAAAGACCAGCTTGTTGGTGTGTACTCTCACAAACATTTCCTGCCCTCTGGCTCTTGTACACCTATAGGTTCCATATTTATTTATTTATTTATTTTCATTACATTTATACCCCGCCCTTTCCACAAGCGGGCTCAGGGCGGCTTACACGAGCACAAAGTGCATATAAATTACAGTATTAAAATACATAAAAACAATTTAAGAATTCACTTCCATTCCGGATGCAAGAGAGAGAGGAAAAACAGACTCCATGTTCTGCATAGCAGGGGAAGGCTCGGGCCCAGTTTAGATGTCACACGGTCTTCCGGTGGTAATACTCTCTGTAGAACGGTGATGGTAATCCCAGTAACAGTGGCGGCTCCTACTCATACGCCTGGCGGAAGAGCTCCGTCTTACAGGCCTGCATAGTTTCAAAACTAGTTAATTACTATAGGTTGTTACTTTTCTGCCAATGAAACAAGTGGTAATATACCATGTGAGATTCATAATTCACCACATTAATTATTGAGGCTGCTAATTAGTAGCCCTTCCTGTCCACAAAGTTAAGTTTTCAGACCTACTGTTTAAGAAGGAAAGAATATTGCAAGCACTCTAGCAATCCTTTCATGTGAGTTGCTTTGCCAGTTAAGGAGTTCAGAGGTAAGGGCTGAAGCACTCTATATGCAGGGAGTGTCACAGTTGTGAGTTTTGTCATGGCTGCTGCTAAGGGTATCTTGAAACTTCTGGGGCTTGCACGCTCCTGTTGCTTTGGGAGGCCTTGTGCCAGAGAGACATCATTGGAATGAGCTAAAGGCCGAGGCCGAAAATTGCTAGGCTGTATCCTAATGGGGATTGTCTGAGAGGGAATGAGATGCTGAATGGCAAAACAAGTTGAAGAGAAGGTAATTGAGCGTCTGTATATCAATACAAAAAGCTCAGGTCTGTCACAAATGCAGTTCGGGAAGAAGTGATGGCTAGAGTGGCAGCTGGTGGCCAGCCAGTCACGCTGTAGCCCCTGCTCTCGTGACAGGATATTCTGGTTACACCAAGTGATCTATATTCAGGTTTTCCTCCAAAAAGGTCGTGCTCCTTGGCCGCCGCCCCCCCCCCCCATCTCTGGGAATAGGTCCTCTTATACCTTGCTTTCATTCACCCAGTGAGTGTCAAGACACGTCGCCCCTCCACATGGGCACCTCTGGAGTTGGAAGGGGCATACAGAATTCCTCTCATGCCAGTCCCACCACCAGGCTCCCCCCTTCCTGTGCCAAATGAGAGCACACCCCCGCATTCCAGAGGCCTCTTCCCATCTGATATTACAGTGCATGGGCCCCTGCCCTGACAGGTTGCATGGAGCTCTTGACATGATGCCAGCCCATCCCAGCCCTGTGAACTGGCCCCAGCATCAGTTCAGAGGTACAGTTCTCTCCCCACCACCCCCAGCACACACACAGAGATATAAGAAGCTGAGCATCTTTATGCCAGAGGCACTCAGAGGGGGTCAGGTCAGAATAAAACTGGGTTTTCTTTGGCTGCTCAAGCAAAGAGTCGTTGTAATTAATGGCACAGACAATACTCATGGAGGCTTAAAGGCTCATTGAAAAATCTTACTTACTTTGATTCTCTGGCTCTAGTTACAAATTAGGAGCATGACCCAGCCAAAGGTAGCTATTTTTTAAAGTTCTAGTTATTTTAATGAAAGAGATTGAGCGGTGCTTAACTTAGCCTCAACAGTGCCAAATGTAAATGTACAGCAACAGAAGGTGATATTGCTATACTTATCAATGGCCAGTCGCCACAATGGATGCCTCTGACCACTAGTACTGGCAGGGGGGTGGCAGTGGAAGGGGCAGACTTGCCATCCCATCCTGCTTGTAAAAATGCCAAAGATATCTGCTTTTCCGTCCCCCCAACCCCAGGATGCTACACTAGATCATGCAAGGCTGTTCTTATGTTCTTACCTCTTCTGCTCCTGTTGGTTGTGTTTGTTTTCAGCACAAACTAACATTCTACATAATACCAGCAAATAAAACAGAAGTCCAGCGGCCCCTTAAAGATTAACCAACTTGATTCCTGCATAAGCTTTCATGAATCAGAGGTATGAGCTCTGACTCACGAAAACTCATACTGGAATAAATGTTGTTAGTCTTTAAAGTGCCCCTGGACTTCTGTTTTATTTTGCTGCAACAGACTAACCCCTCTGGAATACATAATATCAGGCAGCTGTTGTATCAAAAAATGATCTTTATGTGGTTTTCATTGTTGATTTTATTATCTTTGTTTGTATTGTTCTTTGCTTTGAGCAATTTGGAAGAGCGGGTTTGAAATACTGTAAATAAAATCAGATAAACATACCTGAATACTAGACAGAAGATTTAAGTAAATGCAATAAAATTTGGGTTGACTCATGCATTCTTTCACGAAAGATAAAATTCAGAGAGAAGGCAAGCCATTGTAAACAGACTTGGCATTCAAAGTACATGCATTACTTGTAATCCTTACAATCACCTTGTAGGTCAGGTGCATAACATTACCCCTATTTTTGCAGACAGAATACTGAGGCTGCAAAGGATTTATTTGCTGAAGACCATTTAGATGGCTTTATGGCTGAACTGAGATTTGAAATACGGACATTTGGATTACCAGTTCTTTCTCACACACTGCAATCCTTTGCACAGTTATGTGGGGTTTATTCTGTACTCAGGTATATTTATTGTGCTTTATTCATTAACTTCAAAAAGAGGCCTGAATATGATAAAACCGTTGGATTAAATTAGAATTTATTAATAGGCTGAATTCTATCCACCAGGCTATACAGACTATACAGACTATACATTTCTTAACTACTATTGGTGTTAACTTGCTTAAAACAACTAGGGATACTGCGTTATCACCCGACTGCAGCTGTTTCTATCAGTCCACCACATGTTTACCCTTCCTGTCCTCCATGTAGCTCAGGGCAATATCCAACGTTATCCCTTCTCTCACTTTAGTCCCACAACAACACTGTGAGGTCGGCTAGGTTGAGAAAGCGTGACTAGCCCAAGGGCACCCAGCAAGCTTTGTGGCTGAGCAGGGATTTGAATCCAGAGCTTCCTGATCTTAGTCCAGCTCTCTAACTGTACCATGTTGTGAATGGTCCCTGGGCATCTCTTGTACGATTCTGAATTTTGCATAGAATGTCCCAGGTTTTTGTATCTCATGGTCTGCTGTTTACAGTTGTCTTCTGCTGGGGAAAATAGGAGTGCAGGACTCCCAAGTTTCCCCAACGTCTTCCTTTCTCTCTCTCCCTCTGCATGTGTGTGTGTATCTAATCTATCTATCTGCTCAGTGAAGACTGCCTTCAAGCTAGGGTTGCCAACTTCCAGATGGCAGCTGGGGATTTCCTGTTATTACAGCTGATCTCCAGGTGACCCAGATCAGCTCCCCTGGAGAAAATGCCTGCTTTGGAGGATGGACTCTATGGCACAGTACCCTGCTGAGGCCTGTCTCCTCCCCAAATCCTGCCCTCCCCAGGTTCCACCCTCTCAAGGCTCCAGGTATTTGCCAACCCAGAGCCAGCAACCCTACCTCATGCATCTAAGGAAGAAGACTCTAAGCTTATGCTACAGCAAGCGCCACAAGACTCCTATTTGTTTTTGTCTATGATACAAGCTTTGTTTCTTTGTGACAGACTAATGCAGCCACCCAACTGGAATTTACTTGGAAGTAGGCTCTTTTCAACAAGGTGGGATTTATTCCTGAGCAAACATGCACAGGCTTGGGCGGTTAGCAGCTACATCACACTCGCTCTCAAGACTTTACATTATAAAGGGCAGTAAAGAGTGAACTGTGAGGCTGTATTTGACAGGGGAATCAGGGGTTTGTTCACTGATGTACTTGGGATGACAGGCTAATGGTGTTCACAACTGCAGATGTGGGAAGCTGTGAATACGAGTGCAAAACAAAAGCTACAAAAGAAACTACTGCGATTAGAGACATGGGCAGAAAATAGCAGGGCAAACAAACAGAGCTGGGATCGAGGCTCCTAACGAAACTGTGCAGAGAAAAATCCCAAATGAGCCGCTGAAG